TTTCCAACCCCACACGTGCTCACACATCCAGCATTCAGTTCTCTTAATAAAATTTGCCAGATTCAGGCACAAAGATATGGCTAAGATACACATACCTCTAATATTTTAATAGTGATTCATCTCAGAACCAAAGTATTTCTTTTATGAGGGCTTTGCTACATGCCACACAGCACTAGCAAGGGAGATCCCTGGTATACTGTTTCAGGCAGCACCAGCCACAAGCTATTGATTTTGTCTGCAAGAAAATACCACCACCCTTGGTTTTGTGCCACTATGGCTTTATCATGCCATAGAGATATATCTGTAGGAGGCAATTTTTGCATCCTCCATATAAAAGTTGGCTTTCAGAAATGTAGCATGCTGCCAATTTAAATATATTAGGTTTGGCTATTCTATCCATAAATGTTTTCAATTTCTAGAGCAGCTTAAAAATATTCTTATTTTCCAACTGTAACATTGTGGAAAGGAAATTATCTTGTTGCACAAGTCCATCGTGTCACTTCCCACAGTAGTTTGTACTTCACAAGAACTATGAGAGGTTTGAATACAAACAAGCCACACCATCTTCAAACATCCCATTAAATAAAATACCCCATTAATAGAAAGAATATCCACTGGTCTTTTCAACCTGTTTCTTGAATAAATCGTAATTATATCCTGGAGTATATAATTTTTACAAATGGAGATCTGGAAGTATCTCATATAAGTGACCTTTAAGTCCAGAGCAGGCAAGCTCCTACAAAGGTCTGCCATTGGTTAACTTGCTGAGCATCATTGTCCTCCTTATTGTTTGAGGAATTAAAGAAAATTGAATAAAAGCTGAGCAGAGCATATTCCTGGTAGAAAGAAACGTTTGGGTACTTTAAGGGAAATCCATTATAAAGTACAATATTAAGAGTAACCTCTGAAGATTACAGTTATGAAGATTAGAGAATCATCACAATCTCTTTCAGAGTAGTCAGATTATCTCCAGTTAGCTGTATCTGAAAGATGTTGCTCCAGTATATATCCAAGTCATGAAAGATTTTCTCCTCTTCAAACAGAAAGAAGCTTCTGGTCTTGCACAACATTTGAGGAAATTAGTTTACTCCAGTTATCCTGTACATTCCTCCAAGCTGGACTCCAGTGGTGGGATTGTTGATTTTAATGACAAGGCATCTTTTGCTATAAATGCTTCAAATAACTGCAAAAAAACCCCAGCCTTTAGTTAGTTTGAACATACTTATTGCAGAGACCCCTGCCTCTACATGTGCGGGGATTGTAAGCAGCATTTCCATGTTTTGAGTTTTGAACTCTTCTGCAGCTCTGTCCCTGATCTCCACAATAAACAGTTGGGAAGAGTCTTCTGAGAAGCATAAACCTAGAATAAGAGTAAGCGGAACATAAACCAGGTGATTCAAATACATTTGATGAAGTTTTTAAAAGTCACAGATTGTACTGTGAAAGTAGAGGAAGTAAGTGCCTAAACTAAGAACTTGAGATGAAGAGCTAAGTCCTGTGTCTACTAGAATCTGCTCTAAATTTTCTTTGCACTTGTGCAGAGTAATGCCTGGCAAATTTTTCTGGCATAGTTCTGTGGGTAGTTCAGGTAGGGAATCCAGCTGCAGGAGATTCTTTGCAACCTCACTTTAAGGAGAATATTCTTGTGAGCTGTCTGGTAGGTTGCACAGCACAAAGGCAGCCCTTGCTCATAGGAGATGTCCTTCCCCAAACAGGGAGTATCAGTGAATTTATTGGGAGGTATCACATGAGAAAACAGGGCTTACGCGAGCAAAAACCTAATACTTTAGTAAAATAATGACATGTTATTGCATCTAGTTTCCTAAAAGTTAAAAACACAGATTAAACTTCACAAACATTCAGAAAATTAGCCTACCGGATAGAAAAAGAGAGGAAGAAATTCTCCTGTTGCCTTCCTCGTAAAATTATGTGCATTTTGCTTAACGTATATCTAGATTTAAAAATATTTTGTTGGCCACCTGGGTGATTTTTCTGTCCTTTTGTTAAATACTTATGCCAAACAAGCTTTCTTTATTCAGTGTGCTTTCTAGAAATGGAGGCTAAAACGCCACCTCTTAGATTTCATTGAAAAATCTTAAGAGATACCTAAAGATGTGGGCAGAATTTAGGAAAAATGTTATGACAACTCTTGCCTTTAACTCAAAGCAGTTGGACAAAAATGTTTATAGCAGCATTCCCAACACAGGTAGTCCATAACTTGATTGCTATAAAATGTCTAAGTGACCAGAAATTTTGCGCAGAGACCCTGGAGCTATGTAAAGCCAGCATGAATCAGGTATGTGAGGAAGGAGGCAGGAGCAAGACTGTGGGTGTGTATGTAGAGGTGACAGTGGCCTGTCACTAGCAGATGGAAGTTATCCAGCAGCTTGGTCCTTCTGTTCCGATAGCGTTGTGCAGGCTGTGGTATGACCACGAGTCCTGCAGAACTTTAGGACCACAGGAAGGAAGGGTAGAGTAAGGAGAACAGAGAAGTGAGAATTTTTTTTTTTAATGCAACTCTCCAAATTTATAAACTCTGTATCTCTTTTTTTTTTTTTTTTTTAATCTATTTTAAGTCGAATCCAAGGCCAGCAGAAACCCACAAAAAAGCACTTACTGACTTGGTTTGAGCTTCAGCTCACCCTATGTAATGTAGAATACCACCCCAGCAGCAGAGCTGTGAGGCACCTAGTATATATGTGTGCCTCTGCATTTTCACAGTGACACATTAATGGATGTGTACTGGTACTTTCATGATTTAAGGCTCCTCGTACACAAAAGTGAATGCTTGAAGTAAAATACCAGTTTGCAGAACTAATTTAGAAATGCCTCTCAGATCTGTCACTATTTCTCTTTTTAAGAGTAATTGTCTAAAACTATATTGAAAGACAGTTGGAATAACAATAATATATTGCGCTTAAATTAATATTCACCTCATAATGTCCTAGGATTTTGTAAACAAAGGTTAGCTAATTACATAAGCAGTGATCCATCTGAGACATGCAACTGGTTTTATCTGTGGTTGTTCAAATGTTTCACATGAGATCAGCAGTGCTATTCTCATTTAAAGGAGGAAGCCCAGAAACTCAACCCTAAGTGCCTGTGAAGGAGCCAGAGGGCACTAAAAGTTGCAATCAAGAAGCAGCTGAGGATTCCCTTTGGGCAGAAGAATACTCCCAGGTGGTGTAGCATGCTGCATTAGGAATGATTAATACTCCCAGGCAGAGAATGGGCATGCCCAGGCACTCAGGGGTATATCGGTCTTGTTGCATAGGTACAAAATGATGACACGAGGTGTGCTCAGTAGATACAGCATGCTTGGAAGGTATCACATTTACCATGAATGTTCTATACCTAGAATTTGCCGTACTTTGCTGAAATACATTTAGCTGTTTACATACAGAGCAAGCAAACTTCTATTGCTCTTCAATGACATTTTAAATGTGTATTTGCTTGCTGATTGCTATTTTTTAAAGCAAGTACAAATGAATGTATGTGTTTTCATAAAAACTTGTAGATGTTTGGCTCAAGATCTCCAAATGAATGCTTTGGCTAACCCAACATTTGTGCCACTTCTTTTAATTCTCCATATATAGCTGTGCCTGAACTGTGTGACTTAGGTGAGGATTGTCCGTGACTTACACAGAATAGTTGAATCAGCTTTTAAAGGCAATGGTTTCATTTGTTCCAGCAATTCATTTTAGATATCCTTCAGATTTGTTCAAAACAACATAGCTCAGGATATTTGAAATAATCACTGTGATGAAAAATTAGGTGGTAGGAATGCAGCCTGCTGCCCTGCAGATGAATTCTGCCAAACAGGTAACAAATCTCAACCAGTTCAAATATCCCACAATATTAAATAACCTGCCAAGCATCAAGAATAGGGGAGATGAGGGTAGTGTAACCACGTAGCCCTAATATACAGTATTCCCACTGCTAGGAACAGGCACTGAGTTTGTAAGGCCTCAGAACTAAGGCTTGTCAGACTTGCTCTGTTGACATCCCCTCAACTTTGTTTTACGCAGTTTAGTTCTAACAGCAGTTTTTCTAATTGACCATGTGTCTACAAGTAATCTGATTTACCTTTGCTTACCTTTGTATAGTACCACCATGGCTTTATGACTCTAACGTGATGATGCAGCGTAGAGCAATGCAGACCTGGTGTGACTGAGAAGTGGCGGCATGGGATGCAGGGTGCCTGAGCATGGGCATGAGGTGACAGGCACTGGGGTACAAGCTTGGTACTGGTGACCCCACAGCTATAAAAAGCTTGCCAATAGTCTGGTACAGAAATGCAGACCTGGAGCTGGACAAAAATGGATTTAAAGATAACAAAAGGAACTGAACGATAGTATCTAACAAACATAAAAGCCACTATGTGTAGTAAGTTTGGTTGTAAAATGGAGCTGTAGGCTAGCAAAGAAGGAGCAAGGTGTAAAAGGGTGTTAGCAAGCATATAAAATGACCTTATGCAGATCCTAGAGGGAGGAAAAAGGAGCCATCAACATGAATATCATGTTCCCTGCAGCGACCAACTCCAGATGCTGACAGCTCACCGTAACATCCCAAACCACCAGCACCAGAATGAAACCACTGACTTTAGGACTGAGCAGAGCAGGGGAAAGGTGAGGATAATATCTGGAAAAGGAATAAATCTAGGAACTGTATATAAGTTTTAACTGTATTATTATTAATTTTGATTTTTTTTTCTGCATAGACTTATTTTTGTCTTTTTCTGATATAATTTTATCTGATCTAGTAATGATTCTTGGATTAGACTGCTAAGATTCAGTTATACTAATTATAAATTCTTGGGTTTATATATATATACATATATATATGAGGTGTGTTTCCCCTTTGCTCATAAACAAGATTTTGCGTGTAACAATAGACAGAGATATACACCAAAAAAGATAGTTTCTAAATGCTTTCTGGGATAAACTTTCAAAGGGTGACCAAAAACCCCATACCTTATATATGTATTTCTGTCTTCAACAGCTCTGACAAGTTACTGCACTTGAATATGAAAATAGCAAAATCACAGGAGACCGTGTGCTATTGAAAATAGGTACAGTTTCAGATTTTGTGGGCAAATTAAGAAAGACACTTCAAAATTTTTCCATTGACATCTAAAATAAATACAGACCCCAAAAAATCCACGTACTGCATTAGTATCCATTTTGTTGTTCATCCAGAGAATTCTTTGGTTTTTCTTTGTCAGAAAATTTAACGTTTTGGCTCATGAATGTGAAAAGACTGGGATGTTATTCACAATAGATTGAATAAATGCAGGGATTTTCCAGGGGTGAGGCAGGGAGTGTGTATGGATTAGTAATATTTTCCTCTATCAGTGGGCAAGCATCACTGTGCAACTGGATCAGAGCAAGGATGACTCTTAACTATGCAATCTGAGTTTATTCAGTATTTTTAAGTTTAAGAAAAAATCAGGATGATCATCCATGTTTGTATGATCTTCTCAGCAATTAAGATGAGGTTCACATCAGGGCATACATGCTGAGATGATCTTACGCTATTAGCAGCTTTCATCTGCTTGCCTACAGTTTGTTTTACTGTATGCACAGATGAATATTGCCTCAGGAAAAAAATCTGCAGAAAATCCTCCACTTGAAGATTTGTAGAATAAACTATCTGGATCTCAGCGCAAGTATTTTCTCTCGGTGCACACGCGTAATTTTGTCGTGAATGGGATTTATGTCTGCACATCAAAAGAAGAAAATCCCTAAGGGCTCAGCTGAAACCAACAATAGCGAAGAAATTCAGGAATCTCCCACCAGAGCATGCCCTGTTTTGCCTAGTTGATATCACGCAGGCTTTGAATGAAATCTGCGGCAGCCAGGCAAAACGGGACATGCATTGGCTTTATGGCTCTTCATTTCTAAAGGCTTAAAATTAAGCCCTTAAGAATTTACTGTCTTCCTAATGAGAGCACATCACCCACAGGAGGTAGCGTTGGCGATAGCTGGATACGTACAAGGTGGGGCCCCCACGGGCCTGTGCGGCTGCAGCGTGGGTGCGCTCACACCGATACCTTCCCACAGTTTTTTCCTGGATACCAAGGGGAGAAGGTTGTGAAATGCAGACGAGGTGCCGTGGAAGTGGCATTAGTTCCGTGAGGAGACCCGCGCTGGGGCGGGGGCTGCCTGGGGTTCGGGCCATTGCAGTGCTACTTCCGAGCAGCAGAGCCCCAGTCGATAGGTCTGAACCGGAGCCGTGGGGGTCCCCACCGTGGGATCTTGCTTCTCGGGGTGCTGCTGCTGGAGCAGGGGGTGCGGGTGGCTGCGGGGGGGAGCCGTGCCCGCTGATTTATTATTATAATAAACAATAATAACTAATAATCACTAAGTAATTAATCCTTATCACGCCCCTACCCTTCTCCCCCCCGCCCCAGGCCTTCAAAGAGGAGTAACAGCCAGGAACCCATAAGCACAAAGTGATGCGGGAGGGAGGCGCTGGCCCCACGCCACGCCGCGCCCCGCCCCGGCCCCGCGCAGCCCCGGGCCGCGGAGTTGCGCGGATCGGCGCGGAGCAGCGCGGAGCGGCGAGGAGGCGGGGCGCTGCGATGTGCAGGATGTCGTTCAAGGTGAGCCGGGCGCCGGGGAGAGGGGCGGGGGGATGCGCGTTTGGTGTGTGTCCCCCCCACCCCCCCGCTTTGTGCTTGCCGTGCCGGCGGCTCCATCGTATTCTTGGATTTAGGGATTTGTTTATGGGGTTTTTTTGGGGGGGAAAAAAAGAGGATGTTTGAGGGTGGAAGGAAAGAGAATAGAAGCGTCCTTGCTGAGCTCTGGGGTGCCCTGGGAGTGCTGCGGTGGCAGCTGATGGAGTGGGTGCTTCCCAGTGCTGACATCCCCAAAGGATGGATGGTTTGGGTTACATAAACTGCAAGCGTCCATGAAGCTTTACTCTGGCTTGAGGGTGGCCCGGCTCAGCGCTGTGGGCTTTGCTGCAGTCGGGAGCCTCCTCTCCACTTTTCCAATCATCTCTGCTGGTGCTAGTTGTGTAATAGTTGGGAGGCAGCGTTTTTCTGAGCTCTTCATTTCGGGCTGTGGTGGCCACTGAAGCCAGGCTGGTTCATTCCCTTTTTCTGTCTGATTCCTGTCACTTTTTATTTGTACTTCTTCCATCCAAAACCATGCAAGAGCAGTCATCTTCAAAAGATCACCTAAAATAAGTTTTCTTTTAATCTGAGGGCAGGATTAACACAATCAATTGTCAGAGAGGGAAGCAAGCAGTAATTTGCTGATGCTAACAGATAATATTTATGCTAGATGTACATCATCTTCTCCATTATGCACTTTCTGGATGCTGTGCTTGCCCATCTCTTATTGATCGCCAGCTCTGTGCCTGTCCTTTGCCACCTTGCTTGCATTGCATTGCTTTATCTGGTGGATTTCTTCCCTGTAGTTGCCTCTCACTCCTGTCAGCGCGTCTCCCCGCCGGGCGCTGGTGCTGCGGTGCTGGCACCGTGTCTCTCATGCGATGGTGGTGCAGCAGGTGGTTTTCCACCTGCAGTTAAAGCCCTGATGTGGCAGGGAGCAGGGAACCTTTGCTCACAGTGCAGTACAGCCTGACACTGGGTTGTGAAACCGATGTGGTCATCCCCTTTTTGGTCCTGCATTGGTGTCATACCTACTTATTTTTTCTTAGTCTTAGTCTCATCTGTCCCTCTGTTCTGTCTCTTGAGTTTTTTCCCACCTTCATTTATCACAAGCATCCACCCTAAAAGGTTTTCCTGGTGGTGCCAGCCCCTTCTTCTTGCCTTCTTCTCCTTTTGTGGCCTCCTTAGGTCTTTACCTTGTCCTTCAGGTCTTCCTTTCTATTCTGTCCCTATCAGCTCCTTTGTGGTGCCCTATTTTTCACTTTCTATTCCCTCAGGTACTCCTGTTCGAGGTAGCTCACTGCCTGCTCCCTCTCCCTCTGGAGAATTGCAGCCTTCCTCCCCACTTTCTCTCTCTTTTCTGTCTTTTTGCTTGGCATCTTCTCTTTCTCTCAGAAGACTGTGTACTTACCTTGGATTCCTACCATCTCTGTTTGCCACTGTCTATTAATGTTTTCCATCTTACTCTCCTACTTACCCATGAGGTAGCATTTATCTTTCTTTCTCACCGTCTATACACACGAATACTGTCTCTTCTTCTACCAGCTTTTGACTGTCTAAATTTACATTTATATCTTGAACGACCTTTCCTTTTTATCAGGATCCTTCATGTAGGATGTATTGCTATTTAATAAAGTCCTCTCTCTTTCGTCCTAAGTCCCACTAACATTTTCCTTTGATCCTCATTTCCAATTCTTCTTCTTAAAACTTTTTACTCAACTCTTCCATCAGTTTGGAAACTGAGAAAGAAAAGGGAATTTTCTTGACAGTACAAGGAACAAGCTGCCAGGGTAGTGTTCTCTTTCTCCTCTCTTTTATTTCTCTTTGACTATTGCCTCTTCTCTTTCATCTTCAAGATCATTGTTTAACAACTGTAGTCTTCCTCCTCAGCTGTTACCCCGCTGTGAACTGCCTCTTCTCTGCAAACAGCGAGTCAAAGGTAGGGCACGGAGCTGCTATCACAGCATTTAAATGATACTTTTCCCCTCAATATTCCTAAGATGACACATATAGATACATTATCACATTTTTTCTGTATTCCTGCGTAGAAATGCTCTTGTCAGATTTGTAACATATTTTCCTCTAGGCCATTTTTTAATAAGTGTTTTTGCTTGATGTCAGCACAACATGAACATAATGCCAGCTTTTCATCTTTGGGCTCTCATAAAAAAACATATAAACAATTGAAATGAATTGCAGAGGCAAAGTTTGAAATAATGTTTTAGAGATCTTGATGAAGTGGAAGAAATTGTATCCTGAAAGTTTCTGATGCTGGAGCAAATGACACAATGAAACATGTAATTTTCACCAAAGCTATTAGCTGATGACTTTTTCAAACATTTATTATGTTCTGTTCCCAGGCTGTCAATGCTGAGGATCAATTGTTTACTTTATGGAGGCTTTAGGAGCAGACTAGCTTTATAATAAGAATTACATGAAAACTGTATCCAGTTAATCTCTTGAAATTCAACATTACCTTCCCCTAAGAAGTATCTGATGAGACAGGATTGCGTTAATACCTGAACAACAGCAGTCAAGGCTTGTGTCATATCCTGAAGTTTAAAACCCATTTATTACTCAAAAATTACTCAATTAATTGTATTATTAATCCCAAAGCAGTGTCTTACACTTTGCCTACCAGTGATGTCAGTATTGCTGATATCATCTGAAAATGAAGAGCACAGAGGTATAAATCCTTGGTTTGAAAGCAGAAGAGAAATTGCTACATGATACTCCTTGAGGCTGTCCTTGTAGGGTGGCCAGATCGTTTGAGTGATTTTGCACATTCCATTCACCTTAGCAGGTAAAATGGCTCAGATTTGTGTTTACTTTTTTTATCTAATCACTACATGGCTGATGATCTGAGTGTGCTGCATACTCTGCTTTTATAGAAGGAATCCCCAGCAACATGGAAGCACGAGGGGAAATACAAGTACTTAGAGCAGTCATTCCAAATTGGGTCAAAAGCACCACTGGGAAAAACCTGATTTCGTGTCCTTGATGCACTGGAAAATTCTTCCATTCCTTTCCTTGGGTCTGATCCAAAGTATAAGGACAACTTTGCTGGAGAGCTACTGTAGGACTTACAGAGGGAAAAAAGAGGTAGGAATTTATGACTCATAAAGCCAAAGACTTTAGACTTCTGGACTAGGGTAACACTGGCAACTTAGTTCTCTTCTCTCCTCATGTAAACTGCTGAAAGCAGATAAAAGAGTTCCTCAGTATTGATTCCCGTTCCTGACTACTTGGTCGATAAAGATGTTGTTGTATGGTAGGCATAATAAAATGCAGTCACATTGCTACTATGCCCTCATAGTGAAAAATGAGCTGGATGAAATAAATCTTTCCCTGTATGGATATATTGCAATACCTGAAAGCTTTCTAAAATGTTAAGGGTAGAGTGAGACAGTAAAAGCTAAGGAATTCGATTTCCCATTCTGTAAGGTCTAAATATTATTCTTTTACAATAGGTTTCCACTGAATATCATAATAATAAAGAAAATAAGACAATATTCCTAACTATCAGCTCTATAAATAAATAGCTGCCTGATAGAGCAAAAAGGGCAACATGGGCCACTGTGTGTTTAGGTCAGTTGTTTGCTTTTACATAAAATCTTAGTGGTTGTAAGGGTAAAGGTAGGAGAACACTACTGTGTTGCCAGCAAAGTGGATATAAACTGCTAGCTCTACTTTGATTGACATTATCTACAGATTCACCAGGGGAAATTTATTAGCTGTAAAAGGAAGATCAGAATTTAGCCTATTACGCACGCTAAATTCTTCAGACTCCTGCCCCTGTGTGTGCTGGTACAAGAAATATCGCTATCAATTTATAGGAAGTGCCTTATAATTTATGGAATGGTTGAAACTTCTCTCATCTCAAACAACTGCCAATTTTCCAACTTATGAATATTAAAAATGCAGCTCATGGAAAGTGCTCAGTGCGATGGATCTGGGATAGATCACACAAGATTGGTCTTGCATCTGCTGGTTTCTGTGAGGTTTATTACCTGCGTGTCAGTGAAGGAAGCAATTTAAACTCTGCTCCATGCATGCATTTCAAGTATCAACCATAAAACCATGCAATCCTGATTCTCTACCACATTACACGTGCGCATTGACATTTAGACATGGAGAAGTGTGTATTACATTTTCTCAAGCAGAATGATTGACTTTTATATCCACTCTGCACTCTCTTTGGCTTATCCTGAAGGCAGGATTTACTGGAGAGCAAGGCCTGCAGGTATTTTTGACATCGTTTCGGTTTAAGATGGCTATCAGTGAAACATTGCTTTACTGACCTGTTGGTGGTTTTGGGCCTTATTAAAAAAATCAGCAGCATGAGCCTGCTCTAGCATATGTACTGTTGCCATCACAGTGTTGTTTCCCCGCTGCACTTCAGCCATCACAGTGATTACCTGTCAGGGCTGAATTTTGGCAGCTGCCTACATGGGTCAGGTAAGGAGATCAGGAGAAAAGTCTGTTTCTTTTTCTGCTGTCCTCTTCCTATGCTGGGCAGTGATGATTTGTTCCTACCCAGGAGAATTCACATTGTGGCATTGTTTCTAGGACTGAGAAAGCCTCAAAAGATTATTGTATTACTATTAATTTGTTTAACAGTGGTCTGTGTTATCTAGATTTCAGAGTTTCCCAGTTTTGCCTTACATATTGCCTTGCATACCTAGTAGATGAATCTAAGTCTATAGACAGCAAGATTTTAGCCTTTTTTTTTCCTAGCATCACTCAGGAGATATCTCATGTGCCCACAGTTACAGGGTGTTAGTTGCAGGGAGGAGGCAGATCAAACAGTATGGGAGATGCATGAGCGATACTTTTCCTGTATTGGGACTTTATATGCAGAAAAGAAGGAGGTGGCAGAGAGCTAACCTGAAACTCAGGAGGATGTCCTGCAGCAGGACATGTCAGCAGGATGATTCAGCCTCTCTAACTGTGCCCAGCCCTGCCACAGAAGCAGACAACACAGGTACTGGTTAGCACATTGTTTTCTGTGATGTTTCCCTGGGGATCTGGACTAGCATCATCATCTCTCATTCATTACAAAGCAAGCTAAGAGTCATAGGCTGCCATGGACACAGGGAAGACCTGAAACAACATGAGGTAGCAGAGGAAGGTGGATCTCTTTAATTACACAGAGAAATTAAATTGGCTTCCCTTCCATGCCCTGGTTTTGAAAGAACAGCACACTAAGCTGAAACTTGCTTGGCTTGAATGCAGAATTTGCATGTGCGTTTGTCCAATGCATCTTCCAATGTGTTTTAGTTCTGCTTTTTCATTTTTTTCTCCAGAAAGAAACACCACTTGCCAATGCTGCATTTTGGGCTGCAAGAAAAGGAAACCTGGCTCTCCTGCAGCTGCTGCTGAACAGTGGGCGAGTAGATGTGGACTGCAAAGACAGCGTATGCACACAAAGCACCTACACCCACAGCACTGATCCTACATGGTTTTCCATAGCCTGCTGCACCAAGGGTGTGACAGGGAGTTTACACGAGACATTTGAGAGTCTTATGGCACTTAGGGGTGATTTAAAACCTTCTCTTGTCAGGAAGCAAGTTTGAAACTCAAGATAAAATAGTGTGATGATTTACATCAGTGGCAAGGGGTTAGGAATTTGCCAGCACTCAAAAATGTGTCTTACACAGTTACTTGCGGCACTGACATTAAAAACAGAGATCCTAGCACCTCGGGCTTCTCTTTGCAAGAAAATGTCATTGTAGTAATAGATCATGGTGAAGAATCGACTCAGCCGAGCCCAGGTAGCAATGATTCTGTCAGCTAGCAGAGCTCCTCATAATTAGAAGAACTGCTGGCCTCTTAACTTCTTCTCCCCCTCCCTCCTCCCTCCCCAGTATCTCCTGGTCTTGGCACCAAAAGGAAGGCACAGTAAGATTGCCAAGCAACAAGGAGCTGAGACACGTGACAGATAGGTTTCATGGGGATTTCCTTACTGTAGCTGGCATGGGTTGAAATTAGTTTTGAGATTAGAAATGGGTTGAAAACACAGATAATGGGTATGTCTTGATATTCTGCCTGCAACATATGGAGAGGTACTTGATTGTACTAAGATACGGCAAAGAGCAGGGGAAAACCAAGGTTGAGAAGTTCCCAGGTTTCTTTGGTGCTGGGACTGAGAGTTGTGCCTGTGTTGTACAGGATTAGTGCTGCTTCCAACCTGAAACATGAACCTGCCATAGCTTCTCTCACTTTGAATATTTTCAAAGTGCAAGAGATTTTCTAAGCCCATTGACTTTAACCTATCTTTTAATTTTAATTTCAGTTTTGCCCTGTAGGCAAGTATTTGTCCTGCAGTACTTCTGGAGCTGATGCTATGACTGTCATTCTGACAGGGAGGGAAGGATGTTCAGATTGGGGCATGAAGTAAAGAGGACAGAGATCAATGTAAAGAAATAACGTCCAATGTTGCTCCTTTTTTCTCAAAAGACGGCTAACTTCAGTCAAGAATTTGTACAATGCTCTATAAAATATCCTGACTTATTAATTATATCAGACATACACATTTTCTAGACTAAAATATTTTCATAAGATTAAGGCTCCATGCTTTTTTTTTTGTAATGTCACACATTCCTTCTTTAAATTGAGCTGGTGTGTGTGAATGTGTGAATGTTTTAGAAAGATGAGTTACATCCTTATGCATGTGGTTTCCATGTATTGTCCATACACCACATACACATAACCTAAATCTTACTTGATTCACTGGAGCACTGACCTTATGGTGTACTGAGGGAACCTGAACGTATAGTTCTGGTATGGAAAGTTCTCTCATATAAAGTGAAGACTCACAGAGTGAGTTTGCTCTCATCATTTGGATAGAGAATTAGTATTCAAATCACATGGACCTTACTCCTGACTATGACTCAGAATTAAGTGACTCAGCTAAGTCACTCAGCTCCTGTGTCTAAGGTTATTCTTCTGGAAATGATGCAAAGGTCTTTGGGATTCTCTGGTAAAAATGCTGCTTATAAACCAAAAACATTCTTGTTATTCTTGTTGCACTTATTTTGGGACAATAAGGCAAAGTCATTGCATACATATATGTTGAATGGTCAGACCTTAGCACTGCAGGCAAGTCTGTAATGTTTTCGCTTTAACAGCTGCTAATTGCTCATGTTCAAAACATTCTTGATGGTAAGATTTAAATTATAACAAGTTTTTCAATGATCATAAGCTTCCTTCAGATTTTCAGAAGAGGTGCTGTCTCTTCCAGGCAGCCTGATTCATTGCTGGAGGTGTCTGTTGAAGGTACTGACTTGTTTTTCCTTACTCTCAGCTTGGCACAACAGCTCTGATGGTAGCATCTTACTATGGCCACATAGATTGTGTACGGGAATTGGTGTTGCAAGGAGCAGATATCAATCTGCAGAGAGAGGTAAGAGAAGTTCTGCATTCAAACAGGGATTGATTAAGTGACTGCTGGATTATTACAAATAATAAAAGAGTGTTGTCTGTCACTTTTCGCCAATTGCTTATTTGTCAGTTGCTGTGCCGTGCATGTATAAACAGGGTCTGTTCTCCCGAGGACATCAAGGAATCAGATGTCTGGAGTTTATAATAGAAAACGAGATGCCAGTGTTACATTTATAAATAACTCATCAAACATTCCCAGCACATCTGGTTGGTCAGGGGCAGTTATATCTGAGATGTCACCCCCTCAGGGTTACACCATTTATGCATCTGCAGTTTTACTTATTGGCACAATAATTTTCAGCTCTCTGGATGGGAGCTGAAATGATAAAGATCTAAATGATAAGGAGTCCTTTACCTTTTGATTTGCAGAGTCTGGTCATTAAAATTGAGTGGATGCCATTGCTAGCCCAGAGATTGTTTAGACTCATTATGCTTTGGAGTTTCTGCCTCCTCGTCTGAGCCAAGGCATCTCTAACAATCACACAGCTTAATCACCCATACCCTTACCTGCATCTCTGCTTTGCATTCAGGGCATCTCTCACACCATGACATGCTTGCTTGTGGAAGGGACAATGTCAGCATCTGGTTTTGGGAAAGTGCCTTCCCCTCATACTCTGGGCAAATGATTGTAAGGAGTACCTGCAGCCACTCTGGTCTGTATGCTGGCTATACAGAGAGCCGAATTGCTCTGGGACAACATCAGTTGTACTGGTCCTAAGAGAAGAGCAGTTTAAGGAGGGTGTGCAGTAACATGGGATGGTGGCAGGCAGTGCAGGACAGCAGTGTGCTCATTACTTTAACAATAGAAGCCCATGTTTCTCACTTTCCTTGGTTACCTGGAACTAGAGCATTAATCTCATGCTGACATCTGCAAGTTACTGAGTCAGTGAATGCCATATTCAATGATAAAATTGTCTTTGCACTTACTGGCCTAAACTTGCTCTAGCCATGATTGTCAGTGTCTTTCAGTGGGGTCCTGTTCCAACAAAGCATGTATTTAAACATGTCCCTTCCCTTAGGTAAACATTGCTTGAAAAGCAACAACAAAAGGAAAAGTTGAGGACAGTTTTATGGAGCTGCTCTTGAGTATCGCTCAGGATATACTGATTCAGCAAGATGACAAAAAGAGAAACACTGAAATCCTCCAAAATCACTCTGTTGCAGAGAGGAAACAAAACAGATGAAGTTTAAGCCCTAAAGACCCACGGCACTGTTTTGAAATAAAACCCACATACTCAAACCAGTGCTGTTGTACTCTGAAGCTTGGGGAAGTGAGAGCCCCATAAGTGTGTCTGGGAGAGGGGGCTCTGAAATGGTCTCAAGGGGCCATGTGTTGTAAAGGCTTTTGGCACTGGACTGAATTTCATGTGTAGCTCCCTTTTCCTGCATCTTCTACATGAGATGAGAGAGCCCAAAGTCAGGAAAGACCCTTTCCCTTTCCCTTTCCCTTTCCCTTGCCCTTTCCCTTGCCCTTTCCCTTGCCCTTTCCCTTTCCCTTGCCCTTGCCCTTGCCCTTGCCCTTGCCCTTGCCCTCGCCCTTGCCCTTGCCCTTTCTCTTGCCCTTGCCCTTGCCCCTTCCCTTGCCCTTGCCCTTCTCCTTTTCCGTTCCCTTCTTTCCCTTTCCCTTTCCCTTTCCCTTTCCCTTTCCCTTTCCCTTTCCCTTTCCCTTTCCCTTTCCCTTTCCCTTTCCCTTTCCCTTTCCCTTTCCCTTTATTTCCCTTTCCCTTTTCCTTCTTTCCCTTTCCCTTTCCCTTTCTCCTTCCCCTTCTCTCTAGCCATTAAAATCTTACATGGTTTTGGTCCTGGTTTACTCACATGTTAATGACAGTATTTTATACAACTAGTATAAAATACGGGGTTTCAGTGAGGTTAAGGGAAAGCAGGAGTTGCAGGGCTGGTTATAGTTGCTTGCAGGCTGTGTGGCTGCATGGGGATCTACAGCTGCAAGAGACAAGGATGCCTTATGCCAACAGCAGTCACATTTTGTCAGTGGAGAGTCAAGCAAGGTGGAGCTCTGCTGTACCAAATAACCACCTCCCTGGTCTTTCCACACCCTGATCCAAATCCATCCCATACTCCTATTTGTCTCAGGATGTAGCGGCAAGTGGAGTAGGGGTTGGTCTCAAGCTCGCTGTTCCTCTGTTGTTCAAAACTCTTCTTTTCTCACTCTGGGCTTGCTTTCCCCATCTGGTGACTGGGTAGAAGTGAGCAAATCGTGAGAGGTCTATATTAGAAACTCTGTGCAGAAGCCCCTTGCAAAATTTGTATTTTACTCAAACGTATGATGCTGGACAGATTACAGATTTCTCAGTGCAATGAGAAGAAAACTGACCTAAGATACCTGGTGTCCTCTGGAGTCCTCAGAATCATCATGTTTTTTCAGCTGGTATTCAACCAATTGTGGTCAATACTCTAATTTGAAATGCTTATACTTAAGTCAAGTATGTTATGTGTTTGGGTTTTTTTAATATATTTTTTCCTTACAGTCAGGTGCAACTTCTCTGTTCTTTGCTGCACAGCAAGGCCACAATGATGTAGTGAAGTTTCTCTTTGAATTCGGAGCCTCCACTGAATTTAAGAATAAAGTAAGATGGTGGGTCTATTTTTGCATGCTGATACATTCTGACAATCAAGGCTGTTTTTTTCTATTTACATGAAACATGACATGGCATCAGGAAGATGATAAAAGGATTTCTTCACTTGAATATTTTCTGTGTAATACGAGTAATGCAATGTATTGTGAAAATACTAACTTGGGACTAGCTTCTACTACCTAGACTTAATGGCATAAGTTGATCAAAGATCAGTGCCTTGATAGTGATATCAGTCTTTCCTCTTCAGACATCCTTCAATACAAGAACAAAGGGTCTTTTCATACGTGTTACATACGATCCCATTTTAGGTGTATATGTACTTGCATAGATTGAAATTTCATCTGCATTGGGATGTCTGCATACCACCATAGGATACATAAGAGTACAATAGCTTCAGTGCTCCCTAAATTCCCATTTACCCATCTGCGAAAAGAAGATTAAATGCACCTCAGATCTTCTATTTCTTTGTTCAGGCAGGTCCTTTTTCAAAATCTTAGAATAGCCAAAAGCACAGACAGCAGAGCCTGGGTCTGGTTCATCACCCCTCCTGGAGTGAACAGCATCAAGAACAGCAGTTCATCACTGACAGTAGTACATCAACAAAGTTTCTTTGCCCAAGGCAGTACTAGCACCTCTGTTTTCAGCAAACACAACCAAAAGCAACATATTTTCATTAAATATTCTTGCCCTTGACATGCTGGCCACATTTTGGAGCATTCCCATAATTTGGGGAGGACACTTGCCAGTCATTTACCCTGGGATCCATAGTGACGTGTTTGAAGAAGAAGGAATATTTCTTTACCCCACAGTAACCATTTTTTCAAGATGTTATGGTCTGTGATTTGAATGATTCCCTCAATCCATACCTGCTTTCCACAGTCCCTGGAAATACAGGCTTGAAATACTACAGAAATTGATGGAACATCAGAGACTCAACTCCTTATGCTCCATGGACTAAAAATGCTGAGGTTTTGTGGCCAGAGTCCACACATTCCCATACAGTAGAATTCTGGTACCCCAGGGAGCTATGCTTGTGGTAAGCAACACTCTGACCACAGCAGCAATCAGTAAATTTAAAAACATGAATGAAATTGTGGCTATTTAACTCAACATGTAGTGCAGCTGTGGAACTTGGCAGTGAGGAGGGTTGGAATGTTAAATACAACAGATGGCTTTTAAAGTGCTGGATAATATGTGGGCCAGAGTTACTGAAAGAAGCTGCACATTAAAATAAGGGTTACTTCTCAGTCTTCTATTTCAGGGTATAGGTAGGGGTTAACAAGATTCAGAAAGATCATATTCTCTTGCATTCAGCTGTAAACAACATGGCAAGTACACTGTCCTTTGAGTCCTCTGGCCTATGAAAGGCCACAAAGCCATAGTGAAGGAACAAAGGTGTCCCAGGTGTAGAAGGAGCCTGGACTACTCACTGCAGTTCAGCGTTCAACTGGGCAGTGTTTTTGCAGAGGGAGGGAAAGCAGGGAGTGCAGCAAACTTGATAAGGAGGGAAGACAGAGGCTGAGTACCTTATCCTGTCTAGAGGGACAGTTACATTTTCACCAGACCTTTCCACGGCCTCTGAACTAGGAGTTTGTGAAGAGGCCAAGACTTGGTCCAGAAGGCGAACACCAGTCTTGAAAATGATCATTCATGACAATATATGATCTTTTATGAACCATGCAAAATATATTGACATGAGTCACTAGGGCATATAAAAGGAAGTAAAGAACTAAACTATAAGAAAACCTTCATGCATTCAGCCACTCCTAATGTCTTCCACCTTTGGACAAATGCAGGTTTGGGCTCTACTGTTTCTTACCTTGAAACTTTGCTCCCAGCCCCCATATTCCTGCCTGCCTCCTCTTCTGAATTCAAACCTGACTTGGCCCACATGCCAGTCCTAAGTATCTTTTAAGCTGCAGGTTGCTCTTCCTCTCCAGGCCACAGTTTTCTGACACTTCCAGACAAGCTGGTCGTAAGACAACACCAACTCCCACAGGACATAACATGAAAAACTGGCATATGATGTGTATGTGAGGCTATTTTCCAGTAGCATCAAACATGTCTGTCCAAACACTCTCTCCTTCTCATCACCTTTTCAAGAGGTGTATCAGCCACTTCAGCACTCCCAGTATGACCCAAGCTATAGTGCCTGAAAAGGTTCTCAGAAGCTGAACAAAGGATAGCTGAGTTAAAATGAAGCTGTGCAAGATTAAAATGACACTGGTTTAAAAAGTTGAGGTTAGCTGTCACGTCCATGCCCTCTTTGTTGAAAGGTTCTGCTCTCTCTGAACAGTAGTATGAGGGCTTTGCTAGATTTATCATTAATACTGGGACCTATCCTGGAAATTGCCATTCTTTCACTCATTCCTTGCTTGGGGACTGCAGCTGTTTTTCTGAAATGTGGATCTAGATGCAAGAATCCAAATGATTACAGCTTCCAGACTGGGCTTTGGAAACCCACTGAAAGTTTAGACTGAGTCTGGGTGGGAAACCCACCTGTACTTTGTGCAGCTGTGTGTACCTGAGCAGGAGGCATCATTGAGAATGTGCTGCATTGACAGTATGCATCTTCCATTGGCCTTCTAGTCTGTTTTTTTATCAGTTCAATTTTCTGATTTAATTATGTGGTTTTCATAGCTTGGAATTATTCCATCAAATCATCGTTCTATTAACAGGCAACTAAGAAAACAGACTCCTCCATCTCCCCCAAGCCCCAGAAACAACATAGTTGACAAAATAGGTCTTTTCAGGTCAGAGGTAAGGCATTTTCCAAATAAGGCACTCAGCTGGCAGCAGTTCTGGAAAAGATATGACTGATCCTGGCTGGTTTTAAAGGGGATTGCAAAATTAATCAATTTGAAAAGAACTTTCTATTATAAATTAAAATGTGGAAATTAAATAAGAAAACAAATTGAATGTATCCTACAAAACAGAGACTTTAAAGGAAGGAAATGAAAACCCTAACATCTTTTTAAGGTACCTCTCTGTCAATTGTAATTACTACATTTGTTGCTCATATGCAAGAATGCTGGAGAACTATCCTAGTATAGGCATTCAATTCTTATTACCCCTTTTATCATTAGAGTTGATATTCACTATGGCAGGCAAAACAAACACATTCTAAAACAGAGTAATAACGTAATTACCAGTAATTTCTAATGCTGTAAAGATAATAAATAGTTCTATTGAAGTTTAATATATATATATTATAAAATACAATTCTGCATTATCCCAGTCTAACATCCCTAGAAGCATGCATCAAAAATTGAAACGTTCCCTTTTCTTACTCTGAGACGTGTTATAAGCAGGTGGGTTCTTAAAAGCGTTTGCTCAGAAAACATGGGGACATGTTTTCTGAGCAATACTGCAGGTTGAATGGTGTTTTTCAGCAGGTAGTGACTGCAGAAGATCAGTTCCCCTCCCTTGTAGCATCTTTCAGACATGATAAAACACCATATAATTCTAAGCTGCTTTCAGGAGGTGATCACAGAGGCAAAGGAAGAGGTAGGCAAATAATCAGGGAAGTCTACATCAGATAGTATGGTCTAATAGGGTGCTGCTGTTCCAAGCGCTTACATGGGAGATTGGGAGCTGCTGCGTGTGCCACCAGTAGGGAGAACAGACTGGGGAGGGGTAAGAAAAAGTCGTTTCAGAGGAAGAATTGCAGAGGTAGCTGAGAGAACTGACTCCTATCCGAGCTGGAAGGGTTGGCAGTGAAGGATTAATAGAAGCTACATTGTGTTAGAAGAGAGGATATGAGCAAGAAATAAACCCAAGGTGCTGTGCCTTCTCTCAGCGGTGCCTCCGGCCTCCGACCTGTGATGGCCCTTGAGGCGCCTCCGTGGTTGCGCACGTGTCTCTGCTCCCACTCGCTGCCCTGCTCAGAGTTTCCAAGAGGCTTGCCAACGTACCAAAGATGCTGCTTCAGCTTTTTACTCGTCTCAGCTGAAGCCAAAAAGGAAAAGAGGGAATCACATGGCTGAAAGGGATGTTAAAACTCTGTCATTTACTTCTTGGGGTTTTTTTTGGTAAGTCATCTGCCTGCCCTATGGCCTGTAAAACATTGGAGTTTCCAGCTGGAGCTTGCTGGGGGAAAGCGTAAGAGAAAGCAAGATGGAAGTCCAATAGGGGTGGGACGGGGCTGAATTTTTCTCCTCCTAAGAAACCATGAATCTTTGCACTGTTTGAGAATTCTTTGATTTAACTGAGTGCTCTTACCACATGGTCAGTGGAAAAGATTCCTGGTCCCAATTTCCCTTTCTTACAGCAAGACTTATCTCTGTTTATCACAGTGGTACCCCCATCCAGAGTGTGCAAATGAATTCCACTCTCTTCTGTTGAATGTATTCAACTTCATAGGAGACACGCAGTAGAGCAGGTCTTAGAGCCCAGTTGTCTTCCTGATCAAGCACCAAATCTTTTAGCCAAGGAGTTGTTACCCAATTTTTTCTGACCCAGTAAATATTTGATTCAGGGTGGACAGCTGGAACTGGGTACCACCCAATGCTTTTTTCTGATCCCTGGACTCTGATCAGGGTGATCTAGAAAACTTGGTCACTCTAGGCTGAAAGATCAAAATGGTATATTTTGGAAATGTGTTATTCTTTCAAAAAATGTATCTGCCTCAAACTCTTTACTGGATTCAACCAAACACTTGCTCAGGATCCCCATTTTGAGATACTTAGACATATCCTGCGAGAAGTGTCTCCCTTCCTAAACTTGAATCTGTGACATTTCCCAAGGTGGGATCACACAGTTGTCCTGCAAGCGTTGGGTGTCAGCCCCACTATGCTAACTGCAGTTAGCTTTGCAGGCCAGCGTTTTATTTGGGACCTGTCATTTGGTTCCCTCCAGAAAATATGTTAATAACCAATCTTCTTAGAATAACAGGAGTTTGTGGAGAACACAAGAATTTTAGAAAACAACAAAAAAAAGACCATAAAGCAATAAACAAACTATTCCCACATGCAGCTAACTGACCATGTCTATTTACTCTCCACATGGAGAACCTCAAAATTTTGAAGCTTCCTATAGCTCATCCTTCCCTGCCTGTCCACAGAGGATCTGCAATTTGGATAGCACAGTTTCTCTCTTAGCTCATCAACTTTTCTCTCTCCATTTCCTTTGGGGAAAGAGTCTTTAAAACTGTCCCTGTTTTTTGTTTGTAGCGCTTTGATCTGGTAACTCACTTCTGGAGCAAAATGGCTGTCAGCTGGTTAGAAACAGGAAACTGGTTTCACGAAGCTATTAGCTTTTGCCATTGTCTTTTAAATGTGTATAAGGTGTTTTTAAATCCAGGAACCGTTGTGGTTGTTTTTGTGTTTTGTTCCAGCAGTTCCTATTAAATTAGGGTAGTTTAATTTGACAGGAAATTCTAATGACTCATTGTAGCTATAAGTAACTTAATTCCACTGACCTGATTACACAGTATATTTACTCAAATTAATATGCAATTCTTAGATTGTCACACGAGAGCTTCACATCTGTGACTCTGCTGACACTTGAGTCTAGTTTGCTTTTCCACTGTTGTATAGAGGAAGGGTGAATATGAGTTTTTGACAGTATCTATAGCCAATCCCTGTGGGTTAGTTCAGTCATGTTAGAGCTTGAGTTTTCATGAGGATATTATAGGCATGAAATAACACCACAGGTTAATAAGTTTGATTGGCACTTCCCATCATAAAAGATCCATTTGGCCATTCAGTCTGTGACTTCTCTTGTGGATATCTGAGTGGAAAATTTCAGACAAAATTTTGGAGCTGTTTCAGAGAACAAGTCTGAGGAGAAACACAATCTCTTGCCCACATTAATAACAGCTCTAGAAACCATTTATGTGAAATACTTTAGAGAGCTTATCTTGTGGAGGAGGGGCTCGAAACATGGAGAAGGCAGGGAGGGAGAGAGAAGACCTCTGGTGTGGATAATTTGGGGTGTGCGTCATACTTACATGATGGCATGGTGCCATCTTAAGCAGAAGATAAGAACTTCTCTCTATCAGCATCAGAAATAAGTGTAATTTTTGAGTGGAGCACAGTGCACTTAACAAGATGGCATGACCCACATTTACAGTCTTAGTGGTTTCAGATGGCTTGGACTCATTAGCCAGCAATACTGAGATGTTTCCCTTCTCAGACAGCTTGCTTGGCATCTCTACAAGCAGGATGTGATGCATGTGCTTAGGTCTCCCTTTAGTGGTGATGTGCAGCAACTATAACCACCTGGGATTGCTACTACCTGCAGGGATCACTTCTTCAGCAGAAATAATGAGGCTTTCACTGGTGGTCATGGGTTTGGTCTGATGCACACTTCCACAGTTACCTAGCATGCTTTAAAATGCATCCTCCCCACTCTTCTTCAGGCCAACAATCAACAGATGAGAGGCAGGGCATGAGGTTCTGGCCAAGGAAGGGTAGATGATCAATAGGCTTTGGAGCAGGGGAGATGTGTGCTGTCCTTCAGCAGGTGGAAGAGCTTGGTAGGAATGGGGGACTTGCTTGTAAAGGAAAGAGACATGGAGGAGCTTGGACTTGTGCAGGGAACAAAGCTTCTAGTGGGAAGGCGGAAGATGAGGAACAAAAAGAAGAATTTTCTTGGTTTCTGTCCCTCACTAAAAAAGTCTCAGGAGAAAAATGTTTATGGTGACAGAGCCACGTTTAAAGAAGTGTAGGGCAAGACATGGTACTGAAATTATGAAAGATTCAGTAGCTAGTTGCTACAGAACTGCTGTGAGCCAAATTCTGAAGAGCCTTAAACTTTGCTTGTTTTGTGGTGATATTGAGTCCAGCACCTGCTCTCTCACCTGACTGTACCCATTCTTTGCTTTTTCACAGGACGGAGGTACTGCTCTTCTAGCTGCTTGTCAGTACGGGCATGCAAAAGTAGTAGAAACTCTGTTGAAGCACGGTGCCAACATTCACGATCAACTTTATGTGAGTTATTTGACACAGATAACATTGAGAACAGTGGTGGTGGAACAAATGTGCTGTTGGTTGGACAACAGCAGACACTCTGGCTCCAGCACAGAGAAGCATTTGCCAAACATTGCAGTTTTATAGTACTCCACTCTTCTAAGATGTGAATTTTGTTAACTGTCTGCTTTTCATGATCCTGGGAGAAGTAGCACAAAATCAGAAAAGATTATTTGGCTTCCTTTTGATTCATTATCTGTATGAAGGATATATACCAAATCTGGATCAGATTTGTACTATCCAGTAGCCTTGAAGAAAAGACCATGTCATGTTCTACCATGATTTTCACTGCAAACAGAAGAGTGAATAGCTATAAAGCCCATGAGGTACTAGAGAATGAGTTAATCAGTTCTGCCAGAAAGAGTAGTAAAGCTAAAATCTCTAAACATCTTTAAAATACCTGTTAAAATTATGTTATTTGGTATTTGTGCATTTCTAGCTTGTCAGTGCTTTGGGCAAAGAATGGTTAAAATGGCTGAATTGACGTTGTTTAGTTGACTTTTCAGAAAGTTGGACTGAGCCAGTGAAACACTGGATTTAATTTACTCCAACAGAGACATAAATATTTTGAACTTTTCAATGTTCAACAGAAACAAGCAGCAGATTTTCCCTCCACCTCCCATCACTCTTTCCTACCCCAGCGCACTCAAGACTGACAAAGAGGAAGTTATTCCCCAGGGATCTACATTTTTTTCAGCCATTTCCATGGGGCTTGGATCTGCAGGATGCTCTCACATGCAGCTCCCATGAGCGTGCGTGGGAGCCAAGGGCTGGTGACCACAGAAGCCACCAGCATGCTAGGGGCTGTGCACTGGTTGCACAGGGGGTCCCCACCTCTGTGTTGCCCTCACCCCACATTTATAAAGAAGGGTGTCCCACCCTTACTGCTGTGCAAATAGCGATTGCCTTTCTAATCTGAGGGCAGTGATTCATACCTCTGCATAGTAATCCCAGGGGTTACCACTTGGTTTAAAAATAGCCATGCTGACACACCTGCAGATACCTACCTAGAAGTGAAGGCAGTAAAATAACTTCCTTCTTGTCTCTCCTGGAAATGAGCAATAATTGAAATTGGATTTAGAGAAGTATTTTTACTGCTCACAGCCATTGGGCAAAACCAGTCACAAACAGCTGCTTAATAATATAAGAACACAATCTCTTGAAAATGAGTGTTAGCCTGGCTCCTTTTGCGGGACATCGACAGGCTGCATTTGCGAAGTGTTATCTGGCTGGCAGTTTCACTGGCAGGTGGCCAAATGAGAGGGATTCCGAGCATGCATTTCAGTAGTCCTCCCCAAACCATCAAGACAGATGTAGTCTTAAATTGACTCACGTGAGGGGTAAAGAAGAAGACGACAATAGAATACCCAAATTAAACAGTAGCTTTGCAGAAATATGCTATAGTCTCAAAACAGGTTTCTCATTACAGCAGCAATTCAAATAAAGTACAAAAAAATAATAATTTTAAAAATATTTAGGTGATAGGGAACCCAAGGTTCTCTATCTTGATTGATGATACAATAAAGAGCTCTTTTAATATTACACAACCTTGTTTGCTTTCTAAATGGGAGTGTTCTCACTATACCTGTCTCTGGATGAAACCTGCAAAGGACCTGGTAGCATCACCCTATTTCGTGTACTCACATAGCAACCAGACAAAACAGCCCCTCAGAGAGCCCAGGGGTGTTCATTTGTAGTGCCAGCAGACACCCCTCTTGTTTACCAGGACATTTGTCTTGAAATCAAGGTCAAACATTCTAGTTTCAGTCCCGGGGGCACTATATTCAGCTCATGCTTCACTAAGTCTGTGCTGAGTTTTGCAGGAAGAGGAGTAGCTAAGCAGTATCCCTCAGCAAACAACAGCATTTGATCACAACATAGTGATATGCCAACAGGGTCAGCAACAGGCTTCCACTAAAATGCCCTGTATTTTATGATAAGAATATGCATGAGTTGGCATGAGGTGTGTACTTGCACATCTGAGATGCAGTGAAGGGTTTCGTTCATGTGTCTGTTTAAACTAAAAGAGTCTCGCCTCCTGGGAAAGCTTGCCCTAGAGTGCTCTGTGCTGAGTGCTGTGGATATAGGATGGGTGAAAACCTGTCTCACCCTCAACGTAGATTTCCACTTCTAGTTGGTGGGATGGATTATAATGCTGTTTGAAAGTTTTTCAACAAAAAAACTTAATGAAATATGACTTTTAAATCTTTTTCCTAAGGAAAAAGTTTCTGTGAAGTCGAATTCTGAGAATATCTGCACAGGAAAGACATGTTGAGGAAAAATAAAATCCCTTATTTGTTCACAATTTGTTCTTTCACAAGATTTTTGCAGGAAAATGCTGATTTCTCATGAGACAATGAGATACTCTGTCTTGCATGTACTACTTTCACATTATTATATTACAGGTGAAGTCTATTCTACAAGATGTGCCAGAGCAATGGCATGGTAGTTGCTGGGGTGGGACAGTATAATATGACACAGTACTTACTCTTTCAGCCTCAAGGGCAGACTTCAGCGCTGGAGTCTCCAGTCCTGCAAAGTACTTGAACATATTGTCACCATGCATCTATGTAGGAGAACACCTCTTCATGAACATATAAAAGCTAAATAAACCTACATTGCTATACAGGAATTAATTTCTAGTTACGTAAATCAGTGCTTCAATTAATTAGATTCTTAGTCTTCCAGACCCAGGATTTAATGCTTGGTTTGATGTATGATGGGAGCCAGTACTTGTGCATACTGAATGAAAATGTTACCATAGTTTGTTATGAACTAGACTTTGGATTTTTGTAATTATTTCTTGAGCATGGCTGTATATCTGCTGTTACACTGCATAATGGCTTAAGAACGAGAACTTGAGTCAGTTTGGTTTGGTTTTGTGTGGAAAAATGGCATCATTTCAACACAGTTTAAGCTGGATGTATTTGTTCCTAGGATGGAGCTTCTGCAATTTTCCTGGCAGCACAAGGAGGCTATCTGGATGTCATCCGATTGCTGCTTTCTTCAGGAGCAAAGGTTAACCAGCCACGGCAGGTAAGCTCAACACTTCAGGGCAGAGCTGGGGTCTAATTTTTTATAGTTACTAAAAATAAGCACTAAAAATTTTTCAGGGCATCAGGTTCCCATGGAAGTGTTTCACTAGAAGGAAAATTGCAGCTGTGCCTGCATTTGTGTTCTAGTTCAGATTGGTAATGTGGTTTTGAAGCGAGTAACCTCAGTTATTTCTGTTTGCATGAAAACCATATTGTTTCTGGAAGAATTAAAACTGGAAGCTCTGTTCTAGATCTGCACCAGTTGTCCTTACATCTTAGAGCAGATCAAACCCCTGACTGATCCTTTGAACGGGTTTGAACCACATGCACACTTGGGCCAGGGACCAAACTAAATCAAAATAAAACCCTCCTGCTGTATATATTGTTGGTGTAAGGGCCTTGCACTACCTCTTGCAACTATTGAACTGTTTCCGTTGCACCAAGTTACTTGTAAAGGTCTACACAGCCTACCACATCCCTGTGTTCTTTTGGAAATCCTTGGAAAAGCTTTTGGAAATCTGGGAACTCTAGTGGGACACAGTACTAAATTCAGTATATTGAAATCACCAGGCCTTCAGTACTGCAACTTCAGTGCTGAAGCTGATCTTTGACAAAAGCTTTTACTTTTAGTTTTGCTTTTTTTAGTTTTGCTTTGTGCTACCCCTGTGCACTCTGAAACTCCAGCATGAGTGTCACCTTCATCTCTGGAATTTCTTGATACATGTGGAAAGCCTTGCTGTCCCCATTTCCAGTTAGTTACTGTAGTGGGCCTGATCCTGCAAACACATACAACCAGTGGCAACCATAAGCATGAACTTAGCTCCTCTGCAGACAGTGAGGCTGCTGTCTGATCATTAAATGAAATGCATGAGTTAGATTTGTGGCTGGTTCAGAGGTTCCTGCTAGGGCACTGAGGCCTAGATCCACGTTGCATCACTGTATGATGGTGTTAAGCAAGGGTACAAGAGACTTCCTAGGTGTTAAACTAACTCTGGGATATGTTAGCATGCATGGTGTACAGAGATGTATGTAAAAGCTCTCTTGGTTTCCAAAAAATGGTTCCTTAATTGTTTAGCTGTTACTTGCCTCTAAAACTGGTGATTTAACAGCACTTTAGGTGCTGCTTTGAGTAGCCAGATGTGGGGGTTGCACAGCTAGCTTTGCTCCCAGCACGTAGAAATGTCTGGTCAGAGACAGGGCTTCCCAGGAATCTTTGCCTGCTTTGAGAGAGCCTCCCCTGTGGTCTGCTGAAACCCTGCAGGCAAGGTAGCTGTCCTGGGTCTTCACTGCACATTTTAAATTGATGGGATAAGGTCTTGTCTTTGCAATCAGTCATGTATGTCTGCCAGGTGGCTGTGATCACTGACTGCAGCAAGTAAAAAATCAGCAGGCAGGAGCAAATGAATGCAAAACTTTTAATAACAGTGGACAACATGGCATGTCACAAGCTTTGCCAGGTATTTTCAGTATTTCCTTTACTCAATACCAAAAGCCTGACAAATCATAGCCTGGCAGCAGATTGATCTATATGACTTCTGCTGCATCTGTAGGTCTGCGTAGCCTCCTTGCCACTCCTGTAGTGTAAGGAAACTAGATTAATATTTTATGTGTCCAAACTAAAGTAATTTTCCTGCTGCCTCTTCCCCCACCTCTCCAGCACCAGAGCTGTGCTGGCAGCTTCTCCCTGGACTGATGCTCTAGCTGCTCCTACGCTGCCTCCACACTGTCTTCCAAGATCAAGATTAAGAATTGTTAAAAGCTGTTAAGAAACGCAATCTAAAAGATCAATGGAGAAGGATAGACCAAGGTATGCATTAATGCCTTCTGAGTCAGCCAAAATAAAGTTGGGGAGCCTTAGATTTAGCTGAACCATGTTGCCATAAAAACTGCATTCTGCTGATCATAATTATAATGCACCAGCTAATTCTTTCTGACAATATTTTTTTAGCTCTCTGATCCAATTTCTACAACACAATGTTCCATGAGGCATTTTAAAATCTTAGCTGAGGCAAACCCTTGACTCTGTGTGAATGTTCCTCCCGGCTCTGTTTCATCTCCAGCAGGACAGGCTTACTTTGCTTCAGGGTACCTCCGATCCCTGCTAAGATTATGCCTGGATAAACCTGTGGCATTTGTATTTGAGCCCACTGTAATCTGAAACATTTCCTTAACAAACGGAACTTTTTTACTGTTTAATTAGTAAAGTAATGGTTGGGTGGACTTCAATCTCTTTCTTACTAACAAACAAATTTGTACTTTGTTCGAAGGTGGCATGTTGGTCATGAGGTATGTAGCTCTAGATGGAGCAGTTTCAATGCCATATGACTCTTACTGTCAGTTACAAACTACATTGCTCTCACTGCTGTAGGAAACTTTTCTGAGCAACTTAACATTGAATACAGGGCTGCAGAGTGCCAGGTGTGAGTTCGTGCTTCTCCTTTCTCATGGTGTCCAGGTTTTCCTCTCTACCTTGTGGATTTCAGGACTTAATTCATGTGCCTGAGTGTGTGCATCTGCCTTGTATGTCTTCTGCTGCTGCAGTGGATACCAGTTCCCCTTCACCCTTGTGTCCCATCTCCCAGTCCCACTCGGGTGCTCCTGACACCACAGAACATCTCAGATGGTGCTGGCTGTCTGTGTGAAAGTCCTTCAGCTCAGGTCTCACAAGACCAAATAGCGAAGCTTCCTGGCAACTTTCTTCCCTGGCAATGTCATTTCTCTTGGATTTTAGCTGCCTTCTGTTCTTGCTGATATTGTGGAGATGGGCAGGAATTCTTTTGTCATCTTTGTCTAGACAGAGCAGGGGAGGGTGTCTGAAGCCTGGTGTGGGAGATGTTTCTTTGCTTCTCCAACTCATAAACAAAGCAAGAAGATTATTTGCCAATGAATTTTGCACTGTTTTGGCAGCCAATATCCCATCAGGCCTAGTCTGGCCAAGGACATTAAAAATACTCTGAAAATTAATGATTTTTTCTTAACACATGATATTCAATTACACGTATATGTAAGCCAGTAAACCTATATAGAGTGTACACTTCAGACAAGCAAGCAATTTGTTATTAGCAAGAATTCAGCTGGTGTAGTGGTGCGAGTGGGCTGATGAGCAGAACAGTGGCAGAATAGACGCCAAGTAGCCTGAGAGTAGAGGCTCTCTGTCCCTGGAAGTCTTTACTGGAAATTCAAGGGGTATTTTACCTCCCACCCCAACCTGGCCCCTTCTAAAACTCCAAGCCACAAGCAAACATTGAGATTCAAAGCTGCAAAACAAAATCATTTGTTGATGGGTAAGAGAAAGAGTATCAGAAATTTTGGTCAGAGTATGTTTGAAACTGCTGGCTGCTGGATATAGCAAGATGTAGTCCACATATACTAGCTTGTAATCAAATATGGAAATAAGCACAGCTTAAAAACATATGGGGTATTTAACATTGTTGTAGAAACATAATGGTGTGCAGTCTGCTGAGTGGGCAGAGGGACAAGGAAAGGAAAGTAGTTTTTGAGCTATGTCTTTCCCTGTTCTCACTTTCTTCCTGACTCATCTCCAAGCCCTAACATCTGTTTACACAGGAATTCTCATGTGGCCTCTTAGTAAAATGTAATATCTCTTTTGCACTATACACCAACATGAAAATGGACAGAAGTCTCACCTACTCTATGTAAATATTATACACGTTTGCATAAACCTGCATGTTAGATGCTGTTTGCTTAGGAGAGAGAAGCTGACAATATTTAGTGTGAGCCCCCCATCAACTTCATCATCTTTCTTCTCTTCACGGTAAGTCCTCCAAGACAGTAACTCTTTCTCACAATGTATTTTTGCCTCTAGCCTGAGATACTGAGGATGATGCCTAACAGCAATACTATTAAGGATAGTTAATCTGACAGAAGTGTTATTACCCAACACTTGTATTTCCCTCTGCTCCTTTTCATTTATACCTGAAAATAAGAGTTGTTCTTACAGACTTCACTGTGAATAAAGAAGAGCTGCTACGTTCCCTATGCTGTGCTCGTGCTTGTGTTTGTTGTGTAACTAGAAGCGTGGATTTGCACAGCGTTGGTTCTTTATGCAGATTAAATTGTGTAGTCGGCTCTCGGATATTTTCTAAGTTTTATAGGCTTTTTCACTGCCTCTGTTGCTATTTTATAGAGCCATCTGGCGGAGGGAGATTAGAAAAAATATGAAGTGTCAGTTTACTGGTAGGGAAAACACTATAAATTAGAGAGGGACAGTTTTTGCCATTGCGCTAACTTCACATACACTGTATACAAGAGAGCCTTTGTAAGTTTTGAATCACAAAGAACACTCATTGTATTAACAGGATATATACTAGAATGAGGTCTGTCACTAATTTCAATGAGTTAATTTATAGAGAAATGATACAGGAGTGGGCAAAGATCCTGTTCCTCACCATTTGAGAAGACTGAAGATCTCAGGACATGCATTTGCTTTTTCTCAGAATCAGAAAAAGGGAAGCCCAGAATATTACATCAAAGGAAGAAATAACTTTTTTGTTTCTTCCAAAGGGTTAAGAGACTAGCCCATAGAAAGCAGAGAACTGGTTCAGCAATGGTTTCTTGGATTGCACGAGCAAGTCATATGAATCTTCAGCTGGCACTGAGGAGAGAGATTCCTTCTTTGATCAAGGTGGAAATATCTTATTTAGAGTAAAAAGCTGTTTTCTTCTGAAACTTCTCATTAAGGCTCTTTTGGAAGCCCCAGTATATTTTGTCTTCCTCTTTGCTGCCAAGTCTTCAGGCTGCTGAGGGTGGCGAGGGGAGCTGGCAAGCACTGAAGGTAGAAGCAGGCACTCTGCTACATGAGGCCTCACTCTTATGTTAAAGTCCATACAGGCAAAGCCTTTTGTTAAAGGCCCAGGAGAATCAGTTTGGCATCATATAACTGCTGGAGTCCTCCTGTAGTCTGGAGAATCAGGCCATTTAGAAGCAAAAGGAAGAGAAGACACAAACCTAAATTATAATTGCAGTGAGAAATACTTCCAGTGCTTCAACTCACATTTGTCTTTGGGATGCAATTCCATCACAAAGTTCACCTTTTTCTGAATTTTATTCTCTGGGGTTTTCTGCTCAATGGTTGCATAGGACAATTTTTCCAAACCAGATTTTTTCATGCTGGATTCCTTGATAATTGCTCTGTTTTCTAGTGGCGTCCTTGAAGATAAGATTTGTAAAATATTCACCATCACTGTAAGGCAGGATATTTTTACCAGATTCCATGAGGGTGGATAATGTAACTTAATATTGAGAGTTGGTGATCACCTTTGCATCGCTCTTTAGCTTCTATAAACTTCCACTCCATATGTACAGAAGCCCAGCTGCAGAATCTGCCCATGCATGCTGAGATTTGCCTGTGTCTTCTGTCACATCTAGCCACATAGAGTTCGAAGTACACAGGATACCTTTGGCGTCTACATTTCAAACTTCCCCATGTATCTTCGGCACAGCTGGTAAGCCAAAGAGGGCTTTAACTGTTCATGCAGCAACGCACGTTTCAGGCCAACCATGCAAGAGAAAACAGCTAAGGGTGGCCCTACTCCACAACTGGAGCAGTTGTGACTTGATACACCCAGCTCCCACGTGCTTTTGGAAGCAACTCCGCATATGTTTATCTGGGATGAAGGATTTAATTGAGGAATTGAAGTACGTCCATTCCAGTAGGAAGACTTGGGAGGTAAAATACCAGGGAGCACAGGATCTCGAAGTGAAACCGTTAGCAGTCATATTTTGTTTGCAGGATGGGACGGCTCCCTTGTGGATTGCATCGCAGATGGGTCACAGCGAAGTGGTGCGAGTAATGCTGCTCCGGGGCGCCGAGCGAGACGCCGCGCGGGACGTGAGTAGCATTTCTTCCTGCGCTCTGTCTGCAGCTTAATCCCTCCCAGCTTTTTGGGGGGCTGCAAGTGTGCCTGAACGGAGGCCTGGTGTCCCCAGAGTCGGTCCTGTTTGCCAGGTTGTGAAGTCCCACCATGGGCTCCCTTTTCCCCGTTATGTCTGGGACAGCTTCCTGGAGTGACCTTCTGGAATAAGGGAATGGAAATGTCCATATAAATGTGAGACAAAGATAACATATGGTGTCACTGGTTTATTTTACCGTAGTTTTCACCTGCCAGATGCCCTAAAACCAGCAGCATATGCTGTGGAGGTGCCTCCTCAGAGACGATGAGCAGAGGAGACCCTCCTCTCAGAAGTGTGGGGGAGAGCTGGCATTTCCCTCCAGCCGAGGGGAATACAGGCAAAGCATTGGTAATAACTGAACCAACCTTCCTCCCTCTTTTAAAGGACGGTACGACTGCTTTACTGAAGGCTGCCATTAAAGGGTACAACAATGTGATAGAAGAATTGCTGAAATTCTCTCCCACACTTGGCCTGCTGAAGGTTAGTAGTGAAACACACAGATTTTTAGGCAGAAACTCAAGAAGACAAAGGGTCTGACGAAAGATCTGATGTTTATGACTATGCCAGTGGAAGACAAGGAGCGTGAGCCCAAAAAAGTCAAGAGAAAAATGAAACTCTCTTATTTAGCCTTTAACACCACACACAAATCTTCGGAAACAAAATTGTGAATGTGGTTTTTGGAGTGAGGAGACACATTGTGCCATAGAAGGAATTGTCCTGCTTGTCATCATCTGATTTTATTTCTATGGTAAATGGATTGCTCTCAACAGTGCAGTTTTTAGCATTAAACCCTGCCCTCTATTGCATTTAGTCAACAAAATAGTATCCTAAGAGATCTGTTGTGAGCAGATTCTCTACTTGATTTTGTTTTCCACTGAATTCAAAAAGTGACTTGAAAAATAACAGATATTTGGAAGCTGCTTTTTAATACCTGATCTGATTTTATGTGCCTATAAATAAATCACATACTTTGATAGCCTCTGTGCATGCAACTAATTGGCAATTTTGATGTACTTGAAAACCCAGGTGGCATTAACTTAGTTATTAATTACAAGTATGAAACAGCTTCCACACTTATTTGAACTGTCAGTTTGCAGCCGCAAACAAAAGGCCAGCCATAAAAAAATCACCACTCAGCTGTCTGACACTGGGACCATTAATCATCAGAGAAAGAAGATAAAATGCACAGATGGTTTCCATTACTGCTCATGCTTCTGTTTCACTTGCTAATGGCTGGTTTTGCCAGACAGAAGCAAGTGCTGTGTTCATTTCACCTCTAATCTATTGACAAAGGTAATTTTTAAAAGGAAATATTGCTGTGGCAAAGTGAACCTGACTCTCGTTTTTATTAAGGCATTTAAAATCATCTCCTTTATAGCCCACTAGCCATCCAGCACCCTGTCTAAACCACACCCTATACCTTTGATGGCTTAATCTCTTCCACGTTACTTCTTTCTTGTTTGTGGGTTCGTTCTTTGCAAACATTTGTGTTCCACTGCCTTTTGATTTCTTCCCATGCACGGTACAAACATCTCCACTGGTACTTTCTAGAACGGGACCTCTGCTCTCCACGCGGCCGTGCTGAGCGGCAACGCGCGGACAGTGGCGCTGCTCCTCGAAGCAGGAGCGGACCCGTGCCTGAGGAACAAGGTAGGTCCTGGCACGCTGTCCTGGGTGGGGAGCCGGCGGGGAGCCCCGGGTGGGGAGCCCCGGGTGGGGAGCCCCGGGTGGGGAGCCAGCGGGGAGCCCCGGGTGGGGAGCCCTGGGTGGGGAGCCAGCGGGGAGCACCCAGCGGCGGAGCCACGCGTGCCACGGGGGCGGCGGCAGCCCACGTTTCTGTGCTGGTCCGTGGTTGCCCCTTCATCCTCTCCCGAGGCACCACCCTTTGGTCCATTCCTTGCTGCCTACAAGCATCTGTAAGGGTGCTAGGCAGTGCCACTGGTGATGCTGGTTCTTGTGAAGTTACATCAGTCTGAGAATAACCAAACCAGGCACTCGCTCCCTCGAGCACCACAGGCTAAATTGTTAACTATAACTGGTCATGGGCTGGCTAGGTTGCATTTTAGGGAAACAGTAATCTGTTATGATTTCGATAAGCCATAAGTTATATTCGTATCTCCATACAGATGTGTAAGGAGGATATTTCAGCAGCAGGAGAAATGCGTATCTGCATGCCTTTCGTAAGAGAACTTGTTTAGAATTCAGCACATTGCTAATACAAAAAAATATCCCAAATTACATGCATCTTTCCCATATCTTACTCTAAATCTGTTAGCTTCTTGAAATAGTTTCATATTATTTTTATAACAGCAACTTTTCTGCAGACAACTTATCTTGGTTTTGTTCTGTAAAGCGTTAATATTACACGTTTGATAATTTCCATGAAAATATCTTCCTCTGAGTTGTGTTTATGAGTTATTTGTCACTACTCTTTGATATCTAGTTGGGTTTGTTAAGCTGTGAATGGTATTTACCTCTGCTTTATGACTGGGTGAATGAAAGTTTGTAATACAAGTAATCCAGCACATACCTTCCAAGTGTTTTCGTCATTTAATGTAAAAACTGTGCCTGTTATTTCTCTATCATTCCACTTGATGGCAGCAGAGCTAATGCCTCTCACACAGTAGTTCGTGACAATAGCCTCTTTGTTTTGATACTATCATTCAAACAGTGTGCAAGATTTTTCTGCTGCTGATGGCGATTTGCAGTAGGAGGGTGTGCAGTATAAGAAAGTCTGTGGCTGTAGCCTCTTCTACTGATTTGATTTTTTTTTTTTAATAACATGCAATTTGGCACAGCAGAGTACATTTGCAGGACAGAATTACTGATTTTCAGAAGTAGCTTCAATATAAGTGCTTTATGTTACCAAAATGGTATTCAATAAATACAGAAGACCAAACTCTGATGTTCTATTACCAATCCTGCAGAATAGCACTGATTATTTCACAACAATTAAAGTCTTTCCTTGGATTTTTATGGACTTCGGTACTTAAAGACCTGCCTTATCTCCCCCCAAAAATCAGCAGCTATGCTATTACTTCTGTGGCAGAAGCATAGCAATACCACTTAGCCTGGACAGTCAGCACAAAATAAGATGATCACTCAAACCCCACACTAGGATTATTTTGAAGACTTAAGTGAGTCAGCACACTGAAAGGTGATTTCTTAAGATATCTCCAACAGTGGTGAAGACAACACTGGAATAAACACGTCATTATAATGCCCAGTACCATCTTCTTTAGTTTAATGCTTTTAAACCATGTCTTGGAAATACTCATTCATTTCTGCTAACCTGAAGGTTTTTTTGTTCCAGGCAAACGAACTGCCAGCAGAACTAACAAAAAATGAACGCATCCTCCGACTCCTTCGCACAAAGGAAAAGCAAAGGAAAAGCTAATGCAGCCCTATAGCAAATGCAGTTTGACAGAGTTGAGCCCTGACCACGGTAGCATGACAGTAACCTTAGGTTGCCCGAGAAGGGCTTGTCGGAACAGTTTGCAGAACTGATTAGCCTCTCCAGTACACGCTCCCTGGATGCACGAGGCCCTTGCCACGGGGTTGCCATGGGCTGGGGCCTCCGCCTGGCATCTCTGAACGCAGGACTGCGACGAGAGCAGGGTTTGGCCTGGGAGCTGTGTTTGCACTGCAGCCCTGCCTGTAGCCCAGGATCCTGCCGGTCCCAGCACCGACGTTTGCTCCTCCATGCCGGCAGCGTACGCTTCCCCGCACACGCAAGCCCTCTCGCCGTTTCAGACACGCGTCCCTGTACTGGTGTGGCCACACATCTGTAACGGGTGCCTCAGGGTGCACGTGTGGGGCAGGAGTGCTCTGGCCAAAAGGATATCTGGACCTTGCAGCTGTTTGGATGCAGTTGGTCCTGGAGAAGCCCCACTGTGCCACTGCCCTCCCTTTGCTGGCAGTGCTAGCTCAGACCGTTCCTCTCTACCTCCAAGTGCTGCATGGAGCTAGAGGTGAGATCCCACCCACGACATCTCAACAGGAGAAGTCCTCCTGCCAGCCCAGGGCTTTGGTAACGTTTTGTCTACTACATGAAGCTCCACAGAAATGATCCAGAACATCACAAATTATGCCGAAAGCTGCCAACCAAAAATATGCAAGGAGATGTCCTCCTCAGTTGTAGCATCTTGATCTGTCAATCTGTCCAGCAACAGAAACATAGTGGAGCAGCTGATACCATTTTGCAACACATACACAGTGCTACAGGGATCCATCCCCAACCCTACAGTCTACGTACGTGCATTTTTAGGGGTAGGGGAGGGCCAGTTATGGAGCAAACCAACCAGGACATATCATTCACTGGCACCAAGTACATCAGAAATTTAGCTGTTGAGCACAACAGCACAGATGCTATACAAGTGGTATATGTATGTTCTGCACACGCATATATGAGACACTATGGTTTAGTACCCACAGCTACTATGCAATGCACTTGTTCCCCGGGTCTGTGACAGGACTTAAGGGAGAAGTGCGCAGTGTACAGGGGTTTCAGCAGCTGGTGAGAGGGTTACATCTAGCCACACTTGAACGAGCCCACTAATTAATGCAGGCATGTAAAATGAACTCTCAACAGCAATTTTGGCCTTTGTTGTGGTTGAGATGCTTAGACGTGCTACTAGTGCCTGTGTGGGGAAGGCAGTGCAAATTGTAGATGGTTTGTGAAGATTTGTTTTAACCGTGTTGCTGTAAGAGAACCCATTAAAACCCAGTCATTTTTGCAGTATAAACAGTATATGCTACATCCTGTTAATCACAAAACATTAGAGATTGTTTTACAGTGAGTTGAGGCATAAAGTTAGGTCAGTACCTAAATCCAGGCACTTCACTTGCCTTCAAACCTTGGCAAATTACTGAAAAATTGCTTTAAAAGTTGAAGGCAGAGAAGATCATAAGGAGACAAAATATTCCCTGCTTAAAAAATGTCTGTCTAGGATTCAGCTGAACTGTTTGCTTCTGTGGGTTAAAAAAAATCTTTTAGTGAGCTAGCACAAATGAATGCAGTTTAATTAGTGCAAATTAGCCATATATATTACTGAATAATTGTTATTTTTTGTGAGTAAGTTTGGTAAGAAGTCGGGGTTCTGGTGAAGAGAACAGAAGTGGGCTCACTTTTGCTTGCAAGCTGGAATTGCTATTCAATTTCTATTCAGCATTACAAAGAAAAGCTTTACGTTTTCCAACAGTACAAGGAGACACCAGAAAAATATATTTGTTTCGGTAATTCAAGCTGCTGTATTTTTAAATTTAATGTTGTGCCTAACAGAAACTTGCAGACGAACTGGTACAGAACCAAAGAATTATGCAAGATGCTTAGAGGATTATTGTATTCATGGTTAAATTCTGCAAAGGACTAAAAAATACTGAGCATGCAGAAATCTCAAGAGCCTTTTTGGGAACTTAAATTGCACAGCATTACATGGGACGGGATTTAACTTCTTTAACAAACAACATTGGAGAGTACAGGTTTATTTGGAGCCCCCATTGGGTTGAAGATGAACATATTGGTTTGGAGAGTGCTAGAGGAACTCTAAGCAAACTGGCCTCGATATTGATCTTTCTCTCTAAAGTTTCTTCTGATCAACAGCTGGGAACAATCACATTCTTAAAGTAAAAAGCCCTTTCACACTTGTAAAGAAGGATAATCATTAGAAGGTCTTCAGTAGTCATGCTGGATGAGCAATAAATACTCTTAATATCAGACAGGCTGTAATGACCAAGCAGTCTTCCTAAAAAATGTGGAAGCAGCCACTGTTGGTTGGGGCCTCCTATTTTTTTCCTGATGGTGAAGCATAGGAGAGAGGACAGGGCAAGGCAACAGTGGTCCTGTGACAGCTTACGTGAGCAAGCTGACATGACAACATGCAGATATCCAGTACCTGCAGGTGGCCTCTCCTTTCTGCCAGGTGTATTTTCTTGTGAGGGTGGTCTCACCCCAAAGGAGGCAGCTACTCAGCAAAGAGGTCCTTCCTGAACTATGCCTGTCCATGGGAAGGTGCATGTCTGCGCCCCACCATTTAGAGTAGGACTTTCCAAGTTGTGTGTCCACCTGCCTCCGTGACTGGCCACCACAGCCGGGGCTCTCATGCAACAAGCATAGAACACTTGGGATGCTGTGTCCCAGAAAGAGCATCTGCTGACCTTCTCCTGAGAGGATGCAGTTACCAGGTCCTCTTTTTCTGAGTGATAATGGGCTGTAACTGGCTTTTCCTCATCCTAAACAAAATTGGAAATGTGAGGCTAGCACAGGTTGAAAGGAGGGGCTTGTAGCTGCCTCCTTGCTCTCATTAGTGCTGGCTGATATGGCACACAGGCTCTGGGGGGGGCTCTGTGGTGGAGAACTGGCAGCAAAGTCTTTCTCTGCCCCATTCAGGCTGAAGTTGGATCTAGCTTCAGCAAAGACACTCTTCAGCCAATATGGGATTTGTAGGCATGGAAACCTTCCCCTTGGAAGCATCTGTTTCATCTCAGAGCCTTTGGGAAGAGGGCTGGCTTTAGTTTTGGGTTCCCTGTAACCAAAAGGTGCTTATTCTGCTTGTGGATGGGCTTGAAAGTTGCAATACCGTTTCTCACCATGCAGTTAACCTTTTCACAAAGAAACCTTAATAATTCTTAGTATTTATGTAGCTGCTGTTATCTTTAAAGTGCTCAGTAAATACTGCTGTGGTTTGTTTGTTGTTCTAAAACGGAAACCTGCGTTTCCTTTGTGGCTGAAGTGGTTCACTAATATTGACAGTAGTTCTTTGCATAGTTGTTGTGCCTTTTGTGCAAGGCTTTCAAAGTGCTCTGCAGACACTATTACCTTTGTAAGTTCCAAAATTCATTTCAGAGGGAGACACAGAAATAGATGATTTCACTCACAGAGCAGTGAAATGCAGCAGCTGTTCATCAGTTCATGTCAACAGATGAGTAAATTTAGACTAGAAATTAAGGGGCACCACATCCATTTCATAGATGTCAGGATGAAGGTAGGTACCGTATAACTATGTGAAATAGAACTGAGACAGGACAACAGGCCAAATTGGGTTTTGGGTTGGGTTTTGGGGTTTCTTCTCCCCAAAGCCTGCCATATCTATATCCATCTTACACCCCCAAAAAATCAGCTCCACTAGCACACTGCTTTAGGCCTACCTCTTGGCACATTCAGCCCCCGGGGCCCAGCCTGCTGTCCTCTCCACCTGGGATTTACACAGGTGCTATAGCCTGCTGACTCCCCATCAGCTGCAGGTGAGCACAAAGGGTGTGCAACCAAGAACAGGCTACACAAATGAGTCAATGAAAAGTATAGGGCATCTTTCTTTTATTTCACCAGTATCAAACCATTGTAGGATGGGGATGAGCACAAGGAAAGGCCTTTGGGGTATAGAGAGAAGTGTCATCCCATCACTGACATGGTAGTGGTATAGCCTGAGGTCGCAAATACACAGAGCTCTTAATTTAGATGATCACTGCAGTGCAGTGTGTGGGGACATCTATTTAGTAATGATACAAAAGGCAGTGTTGTACCTCCTGACATGCACATGCCATTTTTCCCCTGGAGCAAAACCATCTCACTATTGATCCACCCACATGTGTTTAGTTTAGGAGAGCTGAGAGGATTAGAGCACCAGTTCAAACATCTGCAGGTCATATTTAATGCACTTTAATGACAATGATTATTTGCCTCAGAGTCAGAGCCTACTTGTAAGAATAATTTACGCTTCTTTGTTCGGCCAGTCATGGTGATTATTGGGAAATCCGTAAATAAACCAAATCTTGTGTTGTCTCAGAAATTTCAGAATTGTTGTACAGAAAATGAGGTAGCACAAACGCTGGCCCATTTGTACTTCACTTAATATGAACACTGAACAGACATAAAATCCTGCCTTTGTCTGGAACCCTTGAGTCAGCAGTGTTAAAATGTTAACGTTTGCTATGAGTCCCACCAAAGATTATACACAAGGCTCTTTTTTCCAGCAATGGCATATTGTACTGCACATATGGGACTAAATGGAATTGTGCCTTCTCACAGCAGCTCTGCATTTGGTCCTTGGGAATGTCACTACAGTTCCATACTTTTCTGAATTCCACAGTTTGTTTTGACCTGCCCTTTTATGTATTTGATAAAACCTCTATAAATTTATGTAACTCTCTGTAAGACTAATATTCTGCAACAGGAGTGTTGCTTTGCTAAAACACACTCTTCCATACCATCATTTCAATAAAAATTAATATTCTACTCAGATTATCTCATCCACATATTTCAATATTTCGTTCCTTTCTTCTGTATTCTACTCTTTCTCTTTGTAGAACACCAGAATTAATTTCCTATTTACACAAAGACCACTTTGTTCTATTCCACTTGATTGATTAGACTTTTATAATTTTCCAGGTCTTTACAGATGAGATAGCATTCACAAAATAAATAAAGCCAATGCCCTGGCTTGAGAAACAGAGAAACTTAATTTAGCATCATAACAAGGTTTGTTTCAAAGATCCAGATGTCACTGACAGACTCCCCTTGACATTAACAGCCATTAGGTCAGATCTGAAGGGAAGATGATAAAAAGCAACTTAGGAACCAAAGGAATAAGACTATACTTTTGTTCAGTTACTTGAATATGTCTTGGTGGTTCTGTTATTATTCCTAAATGTAAAACTGGCCCTTACACTGATCTGACCTATTTCAATTAAAAAAAAGTCAATATCCTGCTAATATGCTTATTATGGTATGCAGTGAATTATGCACGTTATAAAAGGGGAAAAGACTCTACACTGAAAACCGTATTTTCGACCTTGTGTTTGACATCCGAGGCTTTTTGCCTTATTCCTACAATTTTCTATTGTGATGAGCTACATTCTGAATCATCATCAAAAATTCCTAAAGCCACAACTCAGTGAAGCATCTCCATCTATTCAGAGAAAGTGCTGTGATTTGTTCATGGCCTAAATCACTACAAAGGATGATTTCTGGTAGTGAAAAAAACGTTAATTTTGCACATGAAAGCATAACAAAATGGTGTCAAGAGGCTGAAAGTAGAAAAATTCAAACTTCAAGATGTGGATTTTCAAGAGCGAGGTGATTCTCTACTGAAATGAATTGCTAAGATGATTCCTTCATCATTTAGGCTTTGAAAAAAAAAAGAATTACTTTTTATTCTGAAAGATGCGTTTCACCTGAAACATTTTGTGTTTGGTGCAGGAATCACTGGATGAAATTATGATATGCAGGAACTAACATTATGTTGTCATAATAGTCTCCTTGATCTTAAAATACACGAATCAATAAAATTTTTGCTTTATCTCCTCAGTGATTTCAAGAGATGCTAACTCTCACGAGATCAATAAGATGACCATATGCCTAACAACTGTGGCTGTAGCTACACAGCAAAATGAAATCTGAGACACATACATGAATTGTCCCTAAGTAATCTGTTTCACTCTCACAATGTTGACAAGGCATTTTAACCAGACTAATGCTTTAATGTCCTTCTTTTAATGTCGAGTCAGTTTGTTCAGAGTGGGCACAAGGGCTGCGTGGGGCTGCACCTTGCCGGAGAGCAGGGATCAGCAGTCACCTGGGATGTGTCGGTGGGGAGCCCAGCCAGGTCAGGAAGGAACAAGAGACACAGCTTTTTGCTGTGGCAAATGTTTCACAGGCTTGGATGCACCGATGGAGCATGACACTAACCTACAACACAGACCTGAAACAGACTGCAATTTTATATGTACTGCACAGATGTGTTCTTGTGTGGTACATACATATACATGTATGTATACATACTTTCTACCCAGCATATGGGTACAGGCTCCTATGATCCCCTTGGAAAAGAGATACCAGAACCTCATGGTCTGCTTGTCTGGACTGCATCGCACAAAGAGGCAGAAGAACTATTCCACTTTCTGAAGACTCCAAGAACAGTCTCTGCAGGCACTCCCCTGGCCGTGCCACTGCATCGCACCCTACTCGCTGGGACAAACTGCTATAAAACTGACAAATTTTTTTCAAGTCCAGCCATAAACAGGATGTTCCTCAGGTGAAATGTGGCTCATAAACCTGCCTCCTGTTCCTCCTGCCAAGTCAGATTCTGGTAGTGCCCTCAGGGATTCTCCTGCAACAGTTCTGCCCATATTCTCCACTTTGACAGCAAATCCTGAGTTACCAAGTGGCAGCATGGACTCCGTCATGGGGACTGAATCCCTCACAGGGACTCAGTAAACTGATGTTAATGCAAACCAAAAGCCACACACAGCCATTAATAGGTCAAACCTTGAAGCTGTTAGCATATCAGCACTTACGCACAGTATCTGGCATGAGTACACATTGCACCTATTTGCTAACAGCAAGAAGTGCTGCGTGCCTCCAGATTCTGCTGCAATAATAAGCTGCATTTCTACAGTGTTTTCCTTCAACACCTCACTGGCTGACACCTGGCTTTGGAGCTCCTAGGCCACATGTTACCATGCAATTGGCACCACTTTATAGAAGACGAAATTGAACTGGAGAGGTTGGGACCTGCCCAGATCATCCAGCAAGTTTGCAGCAAAACTGGAACAAACTTTGAATGGTTTGAATCCAAGTCCCAAGCTTTTACTACTATCCAATAAATAACTTTGCCTAATTGTAATAAAAATGATCAAGTTTCAATGACTTCAGTGATAAATGCAGAAAGGGTGTGATCTTAAAGAGTGACTATAGGACTTTCTAAGGTTAGATAGTGACACACTGGCACAGGTTGGTAGAGTAGCTGTCAAAATACACTAGGGCAGATGATACAAAGATTAAAAGACTTGATTCAGCATCACCTGACATACTACATGTATATTTAAGTGAGTACTAGCAGCATCAGGCACATGATTGCTGTTAGCCCCCTCAGTCTGATTTGATCCCACATGGGAAGTCTGAAGCCAAGAGCATCTGACCAAGTAATAGGTACATTGAGGCAGGTATAATTAAAAGGTGAGCAGGACCCCACAGGTGAGGAAGGCTGACAAATGAAAGCTGATTAAAATAATATGATTTGCTTACAACACCAAATAGGAAACTCCAGCTTTGTTTAGTGCAAGTATTATTCTGGTTTAGCTGGAAAACCATTCTTGGAACAAGCTATAGTGGTTTGGACTGGCTCTACAAAAAAATGGAGGCATGAGGAACTGGGTGGAACTTCTCATCCGCCTGTTGCAGCTTGTCTTCACAGAGATTACAGGACGTGCAAGGAGAATATCCCGCTTTCCCATGGGCTTGTGCAGGGTGTTGCTTAACGTAGCTCCAACTTCTTGCAAGTGCCTCTGGGTGCTATCGCAATAGAAATAATAAAGGTTTGTAATAAATTACGGAGAATAAACAGCGATGGACATTTTAATTGATTTTGCTGCAAAGCGATCACGTACTATGTTTCCATATTTATGCACAAGTAATTCTTCAGACGGATTGCCATCTAGAAATTGCAAAGTCACTAACACTAGACAGTTGAGTTTCTAGTGGAAGCAACAACACAAATTTCATTTCTGCATTGAGCAAAGCAATGGAATCAGTGAGGCCTACACCTCTGAAGGCAATGATCAGGGCTTTTCATCAAAGACGTAAACCAGAACAAAGCAGGCAGGAATTTTACACGTGCTTCCCAGCAGGCACCTTTACACCATTCAGAGTATTCAGTGAGGGAAAGAGCTTATTTGATCCTAACGGACAAATAAAGGACTTGTTTGATGTGATGGAGACACCAAGTGACACCTTACACTGTGAATTAATATTGGCCTCTTCTTTCAGGCAGTAAAATTTATTTTTGTGTATGCTGATGAGAACTGGAAAAAGTATACCCCATTAGCCTTCCAAGCAGACAGTCTCTAACATCTGGTTTAAAAAGGGAACCTTATCAGATGTGGCTTGACAAATGTCCTTCAACAAGAGCAGCTGGGAGTAGGGACGGTCTCTTCTGGGTCACATGTACCACAGACAAGGCAATGAGCTGTTGTCAGCATTGATCTGGGTTAACTATTCAGCAATACTGTTCTGTGCTGTCATGGTTTGAGCCCAGAGGGCAGCTGAGCACCACAAACTGACTCACCCCTTCCGCCTCAGGGGTGGGAAGGAGAAAATACAACAAAAGGCTCGGGATGGAGACAGGGAGGGATGACTCACCAATTATGGTCACCGGCAAAAGACAGACTCCAAAAGACAGACTCTGCTGGGGAAGGAAAAGAACATCAATTTAATTTGAACACCACCACCACTACCACTACTAATTTGCCAATCAATCAGAGTAGGACAGCAAGAAATACAACTACATCTTAAAAATACCTTCCCCCACCCCTCTCTTCTTCCCGGGCTCAGCTTTGCTCCCAATTTCTCAACTTCCTCCCCACCAGTGGTGCAGGGGGGCAGAGGATGGGGGTTGCACCCTGTTCATCACCCATTGTTTCTGCCGCTCCTTCCTCAACAGAGGGAGGACTCTTCACACTCTTCCCCTGCGCCAGTGTGGGGTCCCTCTCACAGGAGACAGTGAGACAGTCCTCCGTGAACTTTCTCCAGCATGAGCCCTTCCCACAGGCTGCAGCTCTTCATAAACTGCTCCAGCGTGGGTCCTTCCCATGGACCGCAGTCCTCCCAGCAACAGACTGCTCCAGCGCAGGCTTCCCTCAGAGTCCCGGCCTTCTTTGGGTTCAGCCACCTGCTCCACCGGCTGCAGGTGGGCATTTGCTACACCGTGGACCTCCATGGGCTGCAGAGGGATAGCCTGCCCTCTCACCATGGGCTGCAGGGCAGTCTCTGCTCAGCCGTACCACCCCCTCC